TCACCTTGGTTAATACTTATGAAGATGACAAGGGCCGCTGCATTATGATACTCAATTCAGATTCAGACTTCACAGCTGCATAAAATGGCATCAACTGTAAGATGACTTTGACCCAATGCCCTGTGACCCACTCTCAGCACTCAATCTAGCTGAGCAAACACTTTCTTCCTGTTCCATCATCAATGTCTGACTCTGATTCAAATTCAATATCCTTCAGTCCTGATTCAGGCTCAGACTCAGCAGATGAAGGCACCTGACAGCCTGTGGCTCTGCTGAACAGTGGTGCTTCTATCAGCACTACCAAGAGGTACACCCTTCCTTTTGTTCATACCATATATTCTCAATTCCAATGTACTCATTGATTTGCTAGTATATTAAATATCTTCAGCTTCAGCATGGGCAGCTCCAGCAGCGGAACATGTCTCTGAACAAGAGCAATAATGTTCTTGCTGTGTAACAACTGAAACATTCTCACAAGTGCTGTGGATGACACAACTTGGCTAGATAGTCATTAGAATACCTAGCCAATATATGTCTACTAATCCTGCCTATCTGCTACACTTGCAAGCAAGAACATTCAACCCAAGGGATCTGCTGTCTAGTCAAGTTCAATAATCAGTACTACACAAAGGGTCAAAAGTCCGAAGGTCAGGAGTCAAGTCCAAAGGTGTGGGGTGAAGTCTGATGCATGGGAAATCGGGTCCGCAGGTGCAGAGATGCAGAGATGGTGGGAGAGTAAGGGAAAGGAAGGGAAAGCATCAGGACTAGCTTGGAGATGTTAAGGAACATCAAGGGAATGAGTGACAATAATGTTGGGTCAAGGGGAGCAGGTCAACAGGTATATTGGCAAAGGGGTAACTCAAGGACAGGTATGGGGTGACCAGTATCAGGGATTTCTCCCTCCTACTAAGTGGTAATTGTAATTTTGGTCACCCAACCCTATATAACTAACTACATGAAAGGCCGGAGTCCATAGGTGAAAGTAGTAGCAAAAACATGGGTCTGATAATATGTAGGTAAAAGGCCATGAGGTACTGTGGTCAGTGGGAATCCATGTAATAATGCTGTCTACTCAATTAGTAATGAGGAATAACTGACTATGCACCAGTGGGGATAAGCGTGACTGGACTGGACATGGTAGGACAAGTGCACAGGATCTCTGAGCAGGTCTGATGCATTGGAGATGCAGAAATGGCAGGAAAGTGTTGGAGATGGGTAGGAGATGTGCAGACTGGATGGGGATTGCAGAATAGGGTCATACCAGGCTAGCCTGAACATGATCGTCACAGCACACTCCAGCATTGTTGTCTAATAGGGTGCCATCAGTGTCGCAATTAGCATCTGCAATATCTGCAATTCCATCTCCATCTGAATCCACTGCAACCTCTGTTACAACTCCTGATTCATTGAAGACCAGTGATGTCGACAAGTTTATCTTGGGCTTGGTGAAGAAGTATGCATTAACTATGGAGATGTTTCTCCCAGACAAAGTTGTTTTTGAAACAGACTGTCCTGACCCTCCAGTTGACTTCTCAAGTCCGACTTGTTATGCAAAAAAGTCTACAGAAAAGGCTGCACTTGTTGCTGAACTTTACACATCCATCAACTACACATTGCATGCTAGGATGCAAACAAATATGTTCTTCAACCAGGTGCATAGCCTTTTCTTCCTCAAGCCATTAATATGAATATAACTAAAACCTCAATTAGTTTGGGAGCAGAATGCAGCAAGCTCACTCTTTGTTTCTAAACAGCCTGCATTCTGTCACAGGTGGCATCTTCAACATGCCCAATGAATTTTTCATTTCCAAATATGACTGTACTTCCCTCCCACAGGTCACAGACTTGATCAGATGGGAAGTAGGCAAGGGCAAAGTGTATGATATCTTCAAGGCACTGATACTTTACCCTGACCATGTTGTAAATGAGAAGAAGATCTTCCAAAACTGGATAGTCATTGCAAAGGTGAGGTTTACTTGTTGACAACAGACTGGGTGCTCATATTTTGTTTCAAAGGTCATCAAGGTTGTGATATGCAGAAAGATGACATTGTATCCCAAAGTGCGCTGTGATGATTATATTCCCACTAGGCTTGCAATGGCCATCTTTTGACATAGGTGATGGAAAGGTAGCCCTCATATCATTCATCACCTCCCTATATGTGGCCTTCCTTAGTTTCAGCTACAAAACCATTGTCCACTCCTTAGGCTGCACTTTCCCATGATGCCCACACGCACCATGCATTGCTATTCATGTTCCTGCACCTTAACCCACACATTTCCCATGCCTTGCACACTGTCAGTTCATCTGGTAAAGTGTTTTAGGTGCATCAGTACATGACCACTCTGCATTGACTGCTTTTCCTGCACTCAACTCACTCCAGATGCACATTCCCGCTGTCTTCTTACTTGAGGTGTCTTATATAAAAGTGGTCAAAAGGCAATGACACCACAATTACACTTTTGATAAGACTGAATGCTGCCAACAACCTCAAGTTCATGGTCTATGACTTTTCTTCTTTCATGGTAGATAATGCAGTGTTTGTGGGAGGTTACCTGCTATACAGCCTGGTGGTTTTATTCTACCTGGTTGTAAATAGGGGTTCTACAATACAAGCCTAGCTTTATCTGGCAAGACATATAATGTAGAGTATGTAGATAGAACTTTATCTAGTCTTGTGTTTGACTAGACAAAATAGAATAGATTTTGTAGGTAAGTCTCTCTAGTCCTATGTTTGACTAGATAGAGAATAGAGTTTGTGGGTGAGTCTCTCTAGTCCTATACTTGACTAGACAGAAAATAAAGAATAGGTGCATACTAAGCACAAAACTAGGTGGCAAATAATGCTAGATATTCCCCTGCCTTGATATACTAAAGGACTTATCAAAGGGAACTAGGTAGAAGCTGATTGGATTTTCCTGCCTAAATGCAAAGGGTTTAATCCAAGGAAGATGATATGATAGAAGAGCAGATAATCCAACAAAGGAATCTGCAGGCACAGATAATATGGCTTGACTTGGTACTTCTAGTCCTCTGAAACTATATGTCAGATGCACACTAGACAGCACAGGTACAGTCAAGAAAAGAATAAATGATCTCAGAGCAAGTAAACCAATTGTACTTGGTCTGCACTTCCTGGCTAACACAAAGAGTGTCAATGTCAGAGAAAGTGGAAGAAGTGGAGGTTCTTTTAAATGATAAAGAGATTCTTATTTTTTATGGGTGGAGAAGAGCTCTCCTTAAATACATGAGTTGGGAGAAACTGTATAGTACCAAGAAATAAGGTTGGAGAGAGAAATGACATCAGAGTTGCATCATAAATGACCTCATTGTGGAGCAAAGTGGAGCAAAAGTGGAGCCAAGTGGAGCAGAACATTCTAGCATCCAATAACATCACTATGACATCATAGATGGCACCATAGTATCCAACAGAATATTCCAGAAATTTCTGTGGAGCTATATGACATCATCATGACATCATACCCTGCAGGTACATTTTGTGGAGTCTCTGGGAGGTCAAAGAATCAGTAGGTAAAAAAATGAAAGAAAAATATGAAGAAAATAAAGTAGAATAAATCATAAGACAGAACAAATCAAAACACTGGCTTTTTAGATAGGGTTTTGGTAGGCTTTTATCTTTTCTCCTTGGTTATTTTTAGTCAAAGTAAATAAGCCAAAAGATAGGCAATAACCTAAGCTTTTGTATAACTATCAACTTGGACTAGGTCAATATATGATTTCTTCATCTATTTGACTTTTCTTCAACACCATATTTTTGCATGATTGAGCATGCAAGTGAAATATTGCACTTGAGTCTGTACTCAAAGTACATTTTGTGTAGTCTGAGGACTAAGCTAACAGACTATGGAAACATGGGATGATATGTCATATACATGTTCTGCATGATTCCCAAATCATGCAGAACACTGCACTCTGTGGACCCATGCATTCACTCCTGCACTGCGTGTATACCTGTGGTCAATTTCCCATGCCTTTGGATTACCTTACAGATGTTCCTGTGTCAGTCCATTGTCCATCCTACCTCATTGGTATGTATTTGCTTTGCCTCGTTGTGTTGTAACAAGTGTTTGCAGTCTTATTACATGTCTTTACATATTCCTACTGCCTGTCTGTCCTGTCCCTTCTGTTTCCAAGAGGGTTTAGCTAGTATAAAGTGCCTAGAGTGACTACTTTGTATTTACTTCCCTTCTATAGTATTTCCTTCCCTTAGGTTTTACTTAGGAGCAGTCACCATTAGTGCTGCTCTTTAGCCCCTATTGGTTACCTTATACCTGGACACCTTACCTTGGACTTCCTTACCTGTGCAATCAATACCCTTGCCCTCACTTGCTACCTGTGCCATTCCTTAAGACTTCCCTACCCCTTACCCTAGCATCTTGCACTTCCACATCACTGCTCATTGACTGCACTTCCGCATTCCCACGCTCTACATACCCGTGCACTTGTTCCTGTGCTCTGTGCACTTTTTGGGTCTTTAGTATCATTGGCCATTCTCAGTAGCAATTCCCTTTATGGTCAAATATTCTTGCTTGCAAGTGTAGCAGCTAGGCAGAGCAATGACCTTACAACAAAATTTTTGGTTAGGCACTGTTACAAACTAGGATAGTTCTAATGACAGACAACTCAATAAGAGTTAAGACTTCTGCTGAGATTCTATGTGAGATGATAAGTCAAGCGTTCAGTGTAAGCTATGTCGGAAATTTCCTAGAAGCATTGCAATGATGTGACATTGCAATTGTCATTGAGATCGGTCCCATGATATCACATGGTGTTCCAATCCGTTAGAATAATCAATAATCATTAATATCTGTTGATATTGACATATCATTCCCACATTGCACGTGCCATTTGAATGCATTGGAATGCACCGATATTTCATCGATCTCATCAATAATGTTGCTGTCTGTTGCTGTCCATATTGCTATCATATTCTTGTATCTACACTTACTTTTGAGTCCTGTACACTTTCATGCCACCCAATGACCTCAATTTGCGATACATGTGGCCAGGAATTCAAGAGTCGTGGACTTGCAGCTCACCAAAAAGCCTGCAGGAGGGACACTATACAGATGCAGGAAGATCGCGAGAGACAGAATGCTCAAGCAGGTGAGTCTTATATAATTTGTTCACATCGAGTATAACTCCTCTTGGCAGCTGCTTGAGCCCAGCTCAAGCTGCTGAACCCTCAATGCCCTCCAGTCCTGGATCAATCACAACGGCCAGGTGCATCACAAGGTTTGATTCATTATTTAATGGATTCGTGTTTCATTTAACAATTTCTAGGCTCTCGTGCAGGTCCTGCTGCTTGCGAACCTACTTTTGACAACGCAGAGTATGTACATCCTGATGAACTTGAAGGTATGTTCCTATTTTTATTGTTAATAAATCGTCAGTCATCATATTATTATGGAGGTCTATCATACGATCTTCCTCCTGCACTCCAGCAGGATGATATCAGGATGGAATATCATCCACATAGTGGAATCCCTATGAAAACTGATCACTTCACTGATTTTCACTGCCACCTGCTGCTCCCTCGCTCGTATGCGAAAATACTACTCCCTGGGAACCGTTTACCCTCGTATCAACTTTGACTTCACTGAATTTCTGAAAGCCAACCTCACAAAACTGCAGACAATGAACTCATCAGTCTCATCCATCACAGTGCTCTCGAAAGATTCTCAGTCACTGATTATGATGGCATCTGTAAGCTGTGGGATGCAGCATCTTCTCACCACACCAAAGTGAGTCTTTGCTGAGTACTGACTTGTTATACCTCATTGACAATCAAATTTCAAGCACAGTTCAAAAAGGAAGTGATTTTGGTCCCTCATAGGGACCAGGAGCATGATTTTGATGTTTGGTATAGGCCGCTCTGGGATTGGGCCTGTGACTTGTTGAAAGACCCTTGCCTTGGTCCGCACTTCGTGTTCATGCTCAAGTTGTACAAATTTGATGGATGAGGACTTTGTATGTTTCTTTGATGAGCCATGGACAGCTAATGCTTCTGGAATAGTCAAGTATGTGCTACTACAAATTTGAAGTTTTTCTAACAATGTAAATGCAT